GGGAAGACCATGGATTTTGGRAGAAATTATAAATCATAATATAAAATACTAATATGTTTAAATAAACCAAATTAAAAATTTTTATTCAGGACAGAAAAAGGTTGTTAATATATGATGATGGATTTGGAAAGAAAATTAGYATTACAAAAATAACTATTTTCTAGAATATAACAAAAACTCATAAACAAATTGCTAGATTATAAATTTTGAGAGTGATAATTTTTTTTTTCTGTCTTGGTCATATTGTGTTTCCAGTGTTCAGATAAGTGCCTGGCAACACTGTTAAATTCTCTCTGGTCAACCTCTTTCATGTTTATCCCTGTCAATATTTGCTTCCTGTCTATTCATCCTCCAAACCAGATAAATTAGTTTCCTATTGCTGCTGTAAAAAATTACCACAAATCCAGTACCCTAAAGAAAATGCATTTATTCTGTAACTGTTCTGGGGGTCAAAAGTCCAAAATCAGGGTCACTAAACAGAAGTTAAGGTGGCAGCTGGGCTGATTCCTTCTGTCAGCTATATTGAAGACTCTGTCACCTTGCCCTTTCTAGCTTCTAGAGGTCTCTGACATTTCTCAGATCAGGGCTCCTTCCACCATTTTCAAAGGTATCATTATAGCATCTCACATCTCTACTTACTCTGATCTGTCCTTACATTACCTTTTCTGCCATTGACCATCCTGCCTCCTTCTTTAAAAGACTCTTATCTTTGGGCCCAACTACATAATGCAAGATAACCCCCTCATTTAAAAATTCTTAATTTAACTATACCTGCACAGTCCCTTTTATAATGCAAGGAAATATGTTCAAGGATTCCAGGGATTAGAACACAAACACATTTTGGGAGGCCACTGCTTAGCATACAACATTAGGGTTTCTCAATGTAGGTCAATTGATGTTTTTGGCCTGATAATTCTTGGCTATGGTGGTTTGTCCAGTGCACTGTATGATACTTAACAGCATCCCTGCCCTTGGCCCTTTAGATTAAGTAGCAGATTTCCTTCCCCTAGTTGGAATCAAATGTCACATGAGAGGCAAAATTGCCCCAAGCTGAGAATATTCATTCTATTCTGGTGATCTTTTCAAAAACCAATCTCTTTCAGGAAGAATTGGTTTATTGCATAGAATTTGTATTCATTTCCCATTATTTTTAAAATTATGACCACACCTCTTGGTATATCAGATTTCTCATCATCTGGCTGTACTTATGTCTCTTGGTTATTTCCCTGTCTTGCTTATTCTTCTATCCRACATCTGTCCCTGTTCTACTGTCCTCCAGATATACTTTTAGTTCCCCCCAAAGAAGAGGCTCTCACACCCTCCTTGTTTTATAAACATTTTTCTGCCTTCTACCTAGATACTCAAAATCTAGCTTTAATGTCTGGGAATGTACACTTAGAACACTTGAAAAGTTACCTCTATTARATTTAGTTGGTGTTTTTTTCCCTCTTTTCCTTGCATTAGTCTGTGAGTTGTATAGAACTTTGACCATTTTCTTCATCTAGGGTGTCTAGTGTTCTTCCTAGAATATACTATTATCCACAAATGTCCTTTGAATGACCRAGTTAATGATGGAATTCAGTCCTCAACCTGAATACATTCTCCAGTGTCTGAGGCTGATGAAGACCGTTGCTCTGAGATCATGACAGAAAATAACTCCCTTGCTTTCTATTTCAAACAGAAAAGAAATTAATTCTTCCATTCTTTGTCCTGAACAGAATCTCGCAAAGAGATTATATCAGCTGTTTTGTATTTAATAATTTTTCAGTTATTTGATTCAAAATTAAGGTTGATACTCAGAAACTATTTAATTATTTAATATGTTTAAATTTTAAATTAGAAAAAAAACAATTCCTTTCATGAGAATTTGGCAAAACAAAGCTAAAATTAAAACACACACAACAATCATTGGTTTTACAACACTACGGAAAGGCTAAGTATGTCAAAGCAGTTTCCTTATCAGAAGAGCATGGTTGATTTTGCAATTTCAATTTTGACTTTGCAGGTAGAAAACTGTCACCTGGGTATTCCCAGCCTTCACACTGTAACAAAACCAACTGATTTGCAAAGTTCCAACATTAGGTATATGTTTCAAACAATAAAAGTGTTAAAATGGTTTCTGTTGCTGTGCATTTTATTATTCTTCTGGTAGTCTAATGTTAAAAGTTTCTCTTAATGTTTAGAAAATGGAGAYGCTTTAGTAAGTACTACTGAAAACACCTGCATGTAATGCTCACTGAAGACACTTTCCTTGATCCAAAGCTCAAATTAAGAGGGCTTTGTGAGAGACTGGATCTCTGTACTTGTTAAAAATATTCAGGTAATTTATGTAAAACACAGAAATTAAAGAAATTCCTCCTATAGTATACTTTTATCATTCCAACTAAATATCATCTGCCCACAGACCTTATAAGGAAAGGGTACCAACAAAGTTTTATAATCCAAAGTATGTCATAATATACTGGGTTGAAGGAAGACTTTTAATCCCCATACAAGGCTAAAAGGTTTTCTTTTCCTCTAATCCATAATTTCTTAAACTTTTTAAAATACTTGGATGAGAGTCAGTGTAACATGATTGATCTTGGTGAAAATATTTGACAAAGGCTGTGTCTTCCTTAGTTGACTCCTGTATCTATAACCTTGAGCAAGTTACCCATCCTCTCTGTGCCTCAGTTCCTTCACTGAAAAAATGAGAATAACAATAGTTTCAACCTCAGAGGATTGCTATGAGGATGAAGAGTCAGTATTTGTAAAGCACCTTGAGCAATGCCTGGCACAGAGAAGCACTAGTATCTGGGATAATTACTACATTTTGTAAGAAGGACTTTTTGAAGCAATATCAACTTGGCATCCTGCAGGAAACTCTACCCGACAACCATCAGTAACTACCCTTAATGAATAATAAACAAATAGGGATRCAAACTACCCTTGAGTTCTTCTCCACAGCCGGAATGGACCTCTGAATTTCAGTTTAGCAACTTTAATAAAAGTCATTTACCAAATTTGGTTTTGATATCCGGTAAATAAGTTTTGTGAATTCATGACTCAGATCCCCATACTTGTTCAAAAACTTCATTCAGCTGCCTACTATCCCAAGAAAATGAATTCTACTTTTCCTTACCCTTTATTTTTTTGCAATATAGTTCCTAGGAATGTTTTCAATATTGTCTACCATTGTTTCCCAGCTTGACACTGTATCATTAATCATTGTCTCTCAAATCACATATCTTCTCATATTTGCCTTACAAAAATTTCCCTTAATTTTCCTTTCTATTGGTCTAGCACCCCTAAATCTTAAGGTAGCCACTCAATTCCCATTTCTTTCTGAACATATTCTAAACTACTATTTTTTCACTGAATTTCCCTACAATCTATGTCTTTTTTTGTACCAAGCATGAGATTTGTTTGTTATATTTTAAAATACCAGTATCTCTAACTACATTGTAATATCTATGTGCACAAAGATTCCTTTGTGTCACTGTGTACCCCAGAGCCTGAATTTGTGCCTCAGAGAGAATAATCATTATGTTTATTACTAATGAGAAGCTTTGGAAGTAAAATTCACACTTATTTTTAGTTCCTATCACATCCTTTTGGCAATTTCTTCCACTCATCAATAATTTTCCTTAGTATTATGTACCTATATACTGTATATTGGCTACTTGAGGACATAAAGAAAGCTGTTTTATCTAATGTTTTGGACAYTTCTGTTTCATTAACACTTAACTATGTTGTTAGTGAAAATAATACTGATAAGGAGTTAGAAAACTTGGGTTTTTTGATATTTGTGTTAGTCCCTACATGTAATCATAAAAAACTCTGTTTCTTCATCTATAAAATATTAATAAAAAATGTCTTCTAACTACAAGATGATAAATATATATAAAATTTACACAAATSATACCCATACACATATATATAGTTGGTCCAATTTCCTCAGGAAAACACAGGTTACTAAAAAAGAAATTTAACAAATTACCCAATTTTGATAACATTTATTTTAGAAGGGTCTTCTAAAAGCATTTAATTTTAATTCAAAAGAATTATATATGTACATATATATGTATGTATTACATACTCATATATGTAACTAACAGAAAAGGTATTTAAGGACTAAAATGTCCAACCTTTTCAATTTCAGTCAATATTTGTTGAATATATTATGTGCAAAAAGAGCACCCTGGGAGCTATGGAAAGTAGTGTCATATATTTATATGTGTATTCGTCTTTGCTGTGGGTAAATCTGAAAAGCTATGCATTGCTTTCAAATTTACAGTCTTACCCTTTACAAAACAATTTTAAACAGCATTCACCTCAGGACATCCAGGAACAAAATGGATGCATGGATTTGGGTAAGGCTCACTTCACTATATGAAGGTTTTAAAAACAGATACAAATATATATTTGACATATAAAGCTGTTTTTTTTTTTTTCTAAAACATAATAAACCTATAGGAGAAAAAAAAATCAAAACTGTCTGCCCTATGAACTCCCCTCAGTTCTTCTTATCCCACTTACATTAGGACAGGTATACAACAACACAGGCCTGCCAGACAGTGACAGCTTTGGATTTTAGGGCAGATTATAGGGTCAGGCCAGAAAATGTGTGTCAACAGGACAGTTCAAACACAGGGGCAAAACCTTAAAGAAAAAAAGGTAAGTGTGGAGGTTCTCAAGTCCTGATTTCCGCTGTTCTTTCGGTTCATTCAGCCTAGTTCCACAGTACACACTCACCTCACTGGCATTTCCTCAAAAATGCACAGGGCGAGCCTGGGGCGCATGCGCCACAAGGGACCGTCTCGCGCCCAACCGCGAGGGGGTGCCCTCCGCGGGGCCTGGCGGGGCCGGGGCCTGGGCGGGGCTTGGGCCGGGGCCTGGGGCGGGGCTTGGGCCGGGGCCTGGGCGGGGCTTGGGCCGGGGCCTGGGGCGGGGCTTGGGCCGGGGCCTGGGGCGGGGCTTGGGCCGGGGCCTGGGGCGGGGCCGGGCCGGGGGCTGGATGTGCGCGGGAGATTTGAACTTCCTTTCCAAGCAGTCAGGCCCCGCGCGGAAATAAAGTTGCGCAGCTGTTTTCTCTTCAGGCCCTACAATAGGGGCCAAAGTGCAGACTACAGAGATGGTGGAAGGACCAGGATGTACTCTGAACGGAGAGAAAATTCGGGCGCGAGTGCTCCCAGGCCAGGCGGTGATAGATGTGCGGGGAAGTGCTGTGCMGAACCTGGAGAGCCCCGCATTGTTACAGGTAGCCTCAAGGGTCCAGATCTCTTCACAGGTGAGCTACTCCAATTACTGACCATGGAGCATGCAGAGAGAAATGGAATAAAATCCCTCCCAGGTTTCCAGCATCAGTAGTGCCGTATCTTTTTCTCCTGGTCCAAGTTCCCTGGAGACCCGCGTTTTCCAACGTTTATCTTTATGGGAAGGAGAAGTTGGTCCTAGCTAGAGCGCCCAGACTGTTATGCCTGAGCGGATAGAATCGATTTGAAGGTGTTTTATTCAAAGTCACCTTGCRTAACTTTTTAACAACCCAGGAAAAAAAATGGTTTATTTAGGTCTACAGCTGCCTTTTCCACTATTAATACTATTCAGCAACCTCTCATGCTTTTTCTTCACATTTTTAAGATAATAAGCTTTTAACATAAAATCCGAGCTTCTTACCTGACTAATATTCTGCAGTTGGTTCATAATGTGACAAATAACAAATAATTATAAAATTACACATAGGAAATTTAGCACTAACTTGTTACTCAATATTGCCATCTAATGAAGGAGCAGTCAAACCCAGTTCTGGATCCCTTAAATGAATTTTTTTTTTTTTCTTCTTAAAGTAAATTGTAGCACAACTTCTTGCCACTCAGGTATTCATTGCAGATGGTGGAGTATTCATTTGGTAAGAACTTAGAACTGTACTGAAAACATTCTGATTAAGCCATCATACTTTTAAAGCCCTTCAGATGTGTGGATGATTGTATTTCATGGATACATGCATATTGTGCTGTACTTCAATTTCTCCTGCAAAGCTTCCCCATAGCCTTTGGTCCTAGAAAGAAAAAAGTTGCCAGCTATGAAATTAGCATATGCTTCTGACTTGAAAAAAAATGAGATTTTAAAACTGAGGAAATACTTTTTCAAACTTTGAAAAAGTTTTGCATCTTCTTCCAGTTCCCCTTCTATTTACTCTGACTTGTTATATCAGTAAGTACTCTGTACTTTTTTTTTTTTTTAATTATCACGTTTCTCAAAATCATTTCAGGATGCTGTAGAGATGAAATTTCATGGTTCTTAAAAATATTAATGTTTATAAAAATCATTCAACAAAATTTTGAATACTGAAGGCACATTGGAGAGTGAAAACAAACACTTCCCCTGTGTATCATGTATTTTAGTTGGGAAGATACATAAATGTTCATTGAAGAACAGCATAAAGAAATATATGTTGATAAGTTCTCTGTAGGAGAGAGACATGCTTCTAAAAGGACTTAGTTCATGGAAGGCTTTCTTGGGAATGAAACCAAGTTGAGGCATGAAGGGGTGAGTGGAAGATAGACAGCACCTTTGCTGAAGGGAGGCCTCAGAACAAAGAAAAAGAGCTTCTAGCATATGAAGCAATAAAAGAAAACCAGTGTGGATGGAAAAAGGAGAATGAAGCAGGGATAGTGGTTTGATATAATATTGATTGGTGGGTAGAAGGCAGACCACAGAGAACACTATAGATGAGACTAGGGACTCTGTGTTTGTCCTAAGAGCCATTGGAGTCCTTGAAGTGTGACAAGATTCATTTACACTTTGAAAAGAAAGAAAAAAAACTGGAGAAAAGCCAGAGCAGACAATGCAGTAGTCTACTGCAGTGATTCAGGTGAGGAACTGGGACTGGGTGCTGATGGTAAAGATTAAATGAGAGGAAAAAAAAATCACTCTTTCAAAAGTACAGGCCATAATGCTTAGCAATGAATATGATATGAATATTCTTATCAATGTCATAATTTACATGATTCAACATTTTGTATTTTGTGTTAGGCCTTATGCTAGCTCATGGGGATTTAAGTATGAATAAGATAAGGTTCCTACTGTAAGAGTCTAATGTAATGTTTTAAATAATCACCTCATTATAATTTAGGCAAAAAGAAAGAACATTTCCTTTTAAATTTATTATGAATTTTTCTGGTTGCAAGGCATGAGGTGCTTTTAAATATCATTTAGTCATGAGAAAGAATACCTAAAAGGATTAACCTGATTCTACTGAGAAGAATTGTGAGGCTCCGAGTAAGTTTAAACCCATTGCCCAAGATCACATGAGTAGTAAAGGAATGAGCCAGGGTTTGATCTTTCTCACTCCAAAACCTGTACTCTTAATTATGCTGCAGACTTGCATTTGTAGCTATTATATTTTATACTTTAATAGAGGAATCTACAAATTGGAAGAGATCTTTGTGATTAGAATTAGAAGTCTGGTTCTATTAAATGGAATTAATAATATCCTTATGAGTCTTGATAAACTTCTAAGTATTCTGCCATCGMTTCACATTCTAGGACTTTGATCTAAAAAATAATAGCCAGGCACAGTGACAGGCCTATAGTGCCAGCTACTCAAGAAGATGAGGCAGAAGGACTACAAGTTCCAGATCAGTCTGGGCAACTTAGACCCTGTCCCAAAATGAAAAAAAAAGGGAAGAGGGTAGAAGTGTAGCTCAGTGGAGAGCTCTCCAGGTTCAATCTCTAATACCCCAAATAACAATGATAGTAATAACCCTTGTAAATCTGAAGAGTCTTTTGCATTTGAGAGGGATGTTGGATCCATTCATTAAAACATGGTAGGTTGTCACAAACTTCTTGCAAGATCATTATTGTACAGATGAGCCTGTTTTCTATGCATATATGCCAAAAAATTAAAGCTATTAAATGTTTTCTGCTACTGGCTTGGAATGATTCATTTTCTCAAACATCGTTTTAAAATAACAACTATATGCTATATTTTTTACAGTGAACATGAAAAACTTACAAATTGAGTACTTAAAATCAAATATTTAAATTTTAGATAATCATCACTCCAAAACCCCACCAAACAATAAAATGCAAACCCTGTACCACAGTAGATAACTGTCATCATGACCAGTTACTATTTGTCTTATAGCATTTCTCTTTGTTCTAATTTAAAGTTCATAGAAAACACACTTTAATGTATCTCTGCCTATGACAACTATTCCTCATTTTGAAGAAGAAAGCCTAGCTATACAAGATCCCAGCATCTGCCAGTCATGTATGTACTCTATTATTCTCTGAGTTTTGATCCACTGTCTTGTCAGCATAAAAATTATGCAACTGTGTAAGCACATTGCATAAAACTCTGCTGGAGCTTGTAGAACCGTATGGTAAGAAACAATCTTGGAATGTAAATGAATGTGTTTGGCTAATGAGCTTTGAAGAGTCAATCCTCCTATTTTAATTGTTGGGTGGATACAATATTTTAGTGAAATCAGTGTGTAATCTGCATGTGTTTTCAATCTCCTTTCACAAAGTAGGATATGAAACAGTTTATTTATAAGCATTCATTTCATTTGAAACATGATTTCCTGGTTATTCCTATGACTTCTTAACATTTGATGCATGCATTTAACATTCTATCTATTTTCATCTTTATACATCAGAGTATCATGAACAGATTAAGATTTAATAAAAGTGAATATATGGAGAAGAACAAAGTTTTTAATAGTGCAAAATGATTACAGATTTAAAAATAAATTTCATATTCCTTATGAGTATGTTTTTGTTTTGGGAATGCCTACTACATGAAAATAATGAAACCTCATAATAAGTTTTTCTCCTACCTTTCCCTTCTCCAAAGTGGAAAAAAAATCATAGCCCATTCTACTGCCATTATTTAAAGGAATGAATTAATTCACAGAAATTCATTTTCCAGCTAAATGAAGCTAATTTTTTTAAGTAGCCAAAGGAATTTCCAAATATTGTCTATATACATTTTGCCTTCTTAGGGGGATTATTGGTAATTATTTCTCCTTGGTGACTTAGAATCATCATTATCAGTATCCAGAATTATAATGGATCATGAAATGGGGGATAACAGAGAGCACATATCATCGCATTATTTCACAGATAAGCAATCTAAAGGAGTCATTTTCTGAGGTCATTGTAGCTTTTTATCCAATATTGTTCAGTGTGCTGTAGAGAAACAAACATCTGATCAACTTGGTTTTTAATTTATACTCTTTTTTACTTCCAATTTGAAGATTCGTATAGCCCCATCTTAGTTTTTGTGGTTGGGATTAAATTAGAGGACATATTAAACTCTTAGTGCCTTGCAAAGTAAATATCCTGGAACTTGTTCCTTTCTCAGCTACATCAGGGCTTCCCACCAGACCCATTTACCTCAGGAACACCTTCTACCCTTATAAAGGGTCTGTACTCAGTTGATGTCTCTGGATAAGTGCTCAAAGGACCTGGTCTTTAAAAACTATAGAGTATACAGACCTAATGACCTTCAGTTTGGAGCTTAGAGACCATTTTAAAATTAGGTTTTCTGATGGTTTAGATTGGCAGATAATCGATCTCTGATTAAAAGAATTGTTATATTATGGGAGAAAAGATCATGTGAGGAAGGACGAGGAGAGAATATGAAATTATATGACATTTTCTTCTCTGTGGGGAAAATATGTAACTGTAGTAAAGTTKAAACATTTATCTCTGAAAAAGTCTTATTCTGCTCTGAAAAGTTCATCTTCCTTGTTCACCCATGGATAGGCAGGATAAATGGTAATCAGCGCAATAAATCATGTGCTGTCTCTGAAAATATATGTTGTTTTGAAGATTTCATATTATTAAGCCACTTGAAAATGGGAAGGTGAACCCTACTCAATCATACTTAAAATTGTGGCAAAGGATTTTCATCTCTTTCAGAAAATAAAAAGGTTGAAATGTTCAAATAATACAGTAACAAGATTATAAGGGTCAACATGAGAAAGTCAAGTATATATTGGGCAATTGTGTATAGTTACAGAAAAGATAATAGGCTTGTGGAAATTAATTTTTGAATTTGTCTAGGCATCAGGAGCTTGTAGAATGAGGTGATAACCCTAGATTCCATAGTAGGACAAGGGAATAGCCTGTAAATCTTAGGTTTATTGTAAAAGCCTCACCCTGTTTGTACACAGTAGCTCACAAAATAAGTGAAACAAGCCATCACTGATATATCAGAATTTTCCATTAAAATGGAATTTTTTTAAAGTGAAGAGTATATTGATTGGCAAAATTTTTATT